TTTGGAGGTTTTGGAGAAGGTTCTGGAGGGTCTGGAGAAGGTTCTGGAAAAGGTTCTGCAGATGTTTCAAGGGTTCTGGAGAAGGTTCTGGAGAAGGTTTGGAGGTCTTGGAGAAGGTTCTGGAGATGTTTCAGTGGTTCTGGAGAAGGTTTGGAGGATCTTGAGAAGGTTTTGGGAAATTTTGAGGAGGTTTGGAGGCTCTGGAGAAAATTTGGAGGTTCTGGAGATGTTTCAGCAGTTCTGGAGAAGGTTCTGGAGGTGTCTCAGCGGTTCTGGAGGTGTCTCAGCGGTTCTGGAGGTGTCTCAGCGGTTCTGGAGAAGATTCTGGAGGTTTGGAGGGTCTGGAGGAGGTTTGGAGATGTTTCAATGGTTCTGGAGAAGGTTCTGGAAGTTTGGAGGTTTTGTAGAAGGTTCTGCAGATGTTTCAGTGGTTCTGGAGAGGTTTGGAGAAGGTCTGGAGGTTCTCAAGAAGGTTTTGGGATATTTTGAGGAGCTTTGGAGGGTCTGGAGGTTTTGGAGAAAGTTCTGGAACTTTTGGAGGTTCTGGAAAAGGCTTGGAGGATCTGGTGAAGGTTTGAAGGTTCTCGAGAGGTTTTTGATGTTTTGGGTGAGTTTTGGAGGTTCTGGAGAATGTTCTGGAAACTTTGAAGGTTCTGGGATTATCCCATTTGGAATTTCGAGAGAATTTTGAGGAATTTTTTGGGGAGATTTTTTTGGGGGGATTTTTCCAGGATTTTGGTGGATTTTGGGGGAATTTTTTGAGGAATATTTTTGAGGATTTGGGGTGATTTTTTGGGTATTTTTGGCAGATTTTTGGGGGGAATTTTTTGAGGGATTTTGAGAATTTTTTTCAAATTTTTTTTGGATTTTGGGGGAATATTTTTTTGATTTTGGGGATTTCTTGAGGGATTTTGAGGGATATTTTTTGGAAATATTTTTTTGGGGATTTTGTGATAATTTTTGGATTTTTTTTTTTTTCTGATAACGCCCCTCCCCCCAGGCATGGTGGACGTGATTTTTGCTGACGTTGCACAACCGGACCAGACCCGGATCGTGGCCCTGAACGCGCATCACTTCCTGCGCTGCGGGGGGCACTTCCTCATCTCCATCAAGGTATGGAAACCAGTATGGACCAGTATGGACCAGTACAAACCAGTATAGACCAGTATGGACCAGTATAGATCGGTATAAACCAGTATAGACCAGTATAAACCCTGAACGCGCATCACTTCCTGCGCTGCGGGGGGCACTTCCTCATCTCCATCAAGGTATGGAAACCAGTATGGACCAGTATAGACCAGTATGGACCAGTACAGACCACTATAGACCACTATAAACCAGTATAGACCAGTATGGACCAGTATAGACCAGGATAAACCAGTATGGACCACTATAAACCAGTATAGACCAATATAGACCAGTATAGATTAATATAGACCAGTATAAACCAGTATAAACCAGTACAGACCCTGCACTCCCATCACTTCCTGCGCTGCGGGGGGCACTTCCTCATCTCCATCAAGGTATGGAAACCAGTATGGACCAGTATAGACCAGTATGGACCAGTATAGATCGGTATAAACCAGTATAAACCAGTATGGACCAGTATAAACCAGTATAGACCAGTATAAACCAGTACAGGCCCTGAACGCGCATCACTTCCTGCGCTGCGGGGGGCACTTCCTCATCTCCATCAAGGTATGGAAACCAGTATAAACCAGTATGAACCAGTATAAACCAGTATGGACCAGTATGGACCAGTATGGACCAGTATAAACCAGTATGGACCAGTATGGACCAGTATAAACCAGTATGGACCAGTATGGACCAGTATGGACCAGTATGGACCAGTATAAACCAGTACAGACCAGTACAAACCAGTACAGACCCTGCACTCCCATCACTTCCTGCGCTGCGGGGGGCACTTCCTCATCTCCATCAAGGTATGGAAACCAGTATGGACCAGTATGGACCAGTACAGACCAGTATAGACCAGTATGGACCAGTATGGACCAGTATAAACCAGTATAGACCAGTACAGACCAGTATAGACCAGTACAGACCAGTATAGACCAGTATAGACCAGTATGGGCCAGTATAGACCAGTACAAACCAGTATAAACCAGTATAGACCAGTATGGGCCAGTATAGACCAGTATAAACCAGTATGGACCAGTACAGACCAGTATGGACCAGTATAAACCAGTATGGACCAGTATGGGCCAGTATAGACCAGTATAAACCAGTATGGACCAGTATAAACCAGTATGGACCAGTATGGACCAGTATAAACCAGTTTAGACCAGTATGGACCAGTATAAACTAGTATAAATCAGTATAGACTAGTATAAACCAGTATAAACCCGTTTAAACCAGTATAGACTAGTATGGACCAGTTGAAACCAGTTTAAACCAGTATAAACCAGTATAAACTAGTATAAATCAGTATAGACCAGTATAAACCAGTATAGACCAGTATAGATCAATATAAACCAGTACAAACCAATATAAACCAGTTTAAACCAGTATGGATCAGCATAAAGTGATTTTTTTTTTTTACTGGTTAGGACTGGTTTTAACTGGTTCAAACTGGTTTTTAACCAGCTCTAACTGGTTTTTACCAGTTCCTGACTGGTCCAAACTGGTTCCTAACTGGTTTTTACCGGATCCTAACTGGTCCAATCTGGTCTCTAACTGGTTTTTAATCAGTTCAAACTGGTTTTTAACTCCTCCAAACTGGTTTCTAACTGGTTTTTCCTGGTTCTAACCACTTTAAACTGGTTCTAACTGGTTTTTAACTGGTCCAAACTGGTTTGTAACTGGTCCAAACTGGTTCTAACTGGTCCAAACTGGTTTTTAATCCATTCTAACTGGTTTTTACTGGTTTCTAACTGGTTTTACTGGTTTTTACTGGGTTTTACCAGTTTCTAACTGGTTTTTACTGGTCTTTAACTGCTCCAAACTGGTTTTGACTGGTTCCTAACTGGTTTTCACCGGTTTGTAACTGGTTTTTACTGCTTTCTAACCGGTCCAAACTGGTTTTTACTGGTCTCTAACTGGTTTTGACTGGTTCCTAACTGGTTTTGACCGGTCCCTAACTGGTTTTGACCGGTCTCTAACTGGTTTTGACCGGTCTCTAACTGGTTTTCACCGGTCTCTAACTGGTTTTCACCGGTTCCTAACTGGTTTTTACTGGTTCCTAACCGTTCCAAACTGGTTTCTAACCAGTCCAAACTGGTCTTTAACTGCTCCAAACTGGTTCTAACTGGCTCCTAACTGGTTTTTACTGCTTTCTAACTGATCCTAACTGGTTTTTACTGGTTTCTAATTGGTCCAAACTGGTCTCTAACTGCTTTATACTGGTGCAAACTGGTCTCTAACTGGTTTTTACTGGTCTCTAACTGGTTTTGACCAGTCTCTAACTGGTTTTGACCGGTCTCTAACTGGTTTTGACCGGTCCAAACTAGTTCTAACTGGTCCCTAACTGGTTTTCACCGGTTTCTAACTGGTTTTTACTGGTTTTGACCGGTCTCTAACTGGTTTTCACCGGTTTCTAACTGGTTTTCACCGGTCCCTAACTGGTTTTTACTGGTTTCTAACCAGTCCAAACTGGTCTTTAACTGCTCCAAACCGGTTCTAACTGGTTCCTGACTGGTTTTTACTGGTTTCTAACTGGTCCAAACTGGTTTCTAACTCTTTTTTTCCTGGTTCTAACTGGTTGTTAACTGCTCCAAACTGGTTCTAACTGGTTCCAAACTGGTTTTCACCGGTTCCTAACTGGTTTTAACCGGTCTCTAACTGGTTTTTCCTGGTCCCTAACTGGTTTCTAACTGGTTTTTCCTGGTTCCTAGCCATTTTTTACTGGTCTCTAACTGGTTTTGACTGGTCTCTAACTGGTTTTCACTGGTTTCTAACTGGTTTTTACTGGTTTAGACTGGTTTCTAACCGGTCCCTAACTGGTTTTGACCGGTCCCTAACTGGTTTTGTCTGGTTCCTAACTGGTTTTTACTGGTTTTGACCGGTCTCTAACTGGTTTTGACCGGTCCCTAACTGGTTTTCACCGGTCTCTAACTGGTTTTTACTGGTTTTGACTGGTTTTGACCTGTCCCTAACTGGTTTCACTGGTTCCTAACTGGTTTTCAGCCGTTTTTAACTGGTTTTGACCGGTTTTTAACTGGTTTTCCCCAGTTTCTAACTGTTTTCTACTGGTTTTTACCAGTCCAAACTGGTTCTAACTGGTCTGAACTGGTCCCTAACTGGTTTTTACTGGTTTTGACTGGTTTTGACCGGTCCCTAACTGGTTTTCACCAGTCCCTAACTGGTTTTAACTGGTCCGAACTGGTTTTTACTGGTTCCTAACCAGTCCAAACTGTTTTTTACTGGTCTCTAACCGGTCCGAACTGGTTTTTACTGGTTTCTAGCTGGTCCAAACTGGTTCCTGACTGCTCCAAACTGGTTCTAACTGGTTTCTAACTGGTTTTGACTGGTCTCTAACTGGTTTTGACGGGTCTCTAACTGGTTTTTACTGTTTTCTAACCGGTCCAAACTGGTTTCTAACTGCTCCAAACTGCTCCAAACTGGTTTCTAACTGGTTTTTACTGGTCCCTGACTGGTTTTGACCGGTCTCTAACTTGTTTTCACCGGTTTCTAACTGGTTTTGACCGGTCTCTAACTGGTTTTCACTGGTTTCTAACCGGTCCAAACTGGTTTTTGCTGGTTTCTGACTGCTCCTGACTGGTTTTTACTGGTTTTTAACTGTTCCAAACTGGTTCTAACTGGTTTCTAACTAGTTTTTACTGGTTTTTACCGGTCCAAACTGGTCTCTAACCGGTTTCTAACTGGTTTTTACTGGTTTTGACCGGTCTCTAACTGGTTTTGACCGGTCTCTAACTGGTTTTGACCGGTCTCTAACTGGTTTTGACCGGTCTCTAACTGGTTTTGACTGGTTCCTAACTGGCTTTTACTGGTCTCTGACTGGTTTTTACTGGTCCCTAACTGGTTTCTAACTGGTTTTTCCTGGTCCATAACTGGTTTTCATTGGTTTCTAAGTGGTTTTTACTGGTCTCTAACCAGTCCTAACTGGTTCCTAACTGGTTCCTAACTGGTTTTGACTGGTTCCTAACTGGTTTTGACTGGTTCCTAACTGGTTTTGACTGGTTCCTAACTGGTTTTTACTGGTTCCTAACTGGTTTTTATTGGTTTTTACTGGTTTTGACCGGTCTCTAACTGGTTTTGACCGGTCCCTAACTGGTTTTGACCGGTCCCTAACTGGTTTTGACCGGTCCCTAACTGGTTTTGACCGGTCCCTAACTGGTTTTGACCGGTTCCTAACTGGTTTTTACTGGTTCCTAACTGGTTTTGACCGGTCTCTAACTGGTTTTGACCGGTCCCTAACTGGTTTTGACTGGTTCCTAACTGGTTTTTACTGGTCTCTAACTTGTTTTCACCGGTCTCTAACTTGTTTTCACTGGTCTCTAACTGGTTTTCACCAGTTTCTAACTGTTTTTTACTGGTTTTTACCAGTCCAAACTGGTTCTAACTAGTCTGAACTGGTCCCTAACTGGTTTTTACTGGTCCCTGACTGGTTTTGACCGGTCTCTAACTGGTTTTCATCAGTTTCTAACTGGTTTTTACTGGTTTCTGAGTGGTATTCATTGTTTTCTAACGGGTTTTTACTGTTTTTTACTGGTCCAAACTGGTTTTTACTGGTCCCTAACTGGTTTTGACCGGTCTCTAACTGGTTTTTACTGGTTCCTAACTGGTTCTAACTGGTTCCTAACTGGTTTACACCGGTTTCTAACTAGTTTTTACTGGTTTTTACCGGTCCAAACTGGTCTCTAACTGGTTTTCACTGGTCTCTAACTGCTTTTTACTGG